CCACCCTGACACTTTCTCCCCTGCCGTCCTACAGCACAGGCAGCCAGCCCAGCCTCGCTGTTCAAATCCCTTTTGAAGGCTGGGCTTCCTCTGATGCAAGAGTTGGCCAAGTCACCACTGCTTCCCACTCATCCCACACATTTTTCACAGGAAAAGAAAAAAAAAAAGCCACTCCAGAATTTCTAAGGAAGCCTTGGCCCCTGCAAGAGCCTGGCTTTCACACACAGCTTTAAAATGGCAGACCCATCTTCCCAGCTGTATTTGCTAACGAGTGTTGGCACTATGTCACCATGACAGTGCTTTTCCAAAGGTCTTTGCAGTCTGGGGACTCCCACTCATAGGGCTTTAGGTCAGCTGAGGTGTGGTGGAAGAGCTGTTGTGTTGTTTGAAATGGGAATGGTTCCTGTGGCTTTTTGTGAGGTCCTCGATGAGCAGGGTGGGCTTTGGTGGCCTATACATCTGCTTAGCCGTCACAGAATGCTGTTAGGGGAGTGACACAAAAAAGATGCTGTTTGAAAACAACCCGCTATTACCTTGGAGGGTGTCATCCCTCCATCCAGTGAAGCAGAATCACATGGCCACCTCCCTCCTCGTCCGTGGTGACCGCTGCCTGCAGCCCGGCCTCGCTGTCCCCGGCATGCTCCCGTGCCCCTTACAGCACGGTGCAAATCCTCCTTCTGTTCCTCCCTCTGCCGGGGCCTCCAGTGCTGTATCATGTGAGGCTTTAAACCCAAGGTCTTTTTGATAACAAAGGTATTTTGGAGAGTACAAATTATCTTTGGGCAGGCATAAATTTTGTTTCTCCACCTTTTCAAGCTTTTCACTTAACTGAAGGAATAAATTATTTTGTTATCATTCATTTTGGGGTAATTTTTTATTTGTGATGAAGAAAAAAAGTAGTGTAAAAAGGGATTATCTGCAGCCTGTTCATTGTTGCTAACAGCTGATGTGTGAAACCCAAGATCTGAGAGAGAGACTCATCAGTTTACAGGTGTCCACCTCTGGGAAATGCAGCAGGTACACAAAAGTGAAGAAAGAGAATTTTTATATTTTTTTTTTTAAATGCCTCCTTCAGTTTCTGGTCTCAGGAGTTTCCTTATGCAAAGCTGTTACTTACAGGCTGTGGTTACCTTGAACGCAACAAGTTATTTGAATGCTTATTTGAATGTAGGTATGTTTTGCAGAAGCGAGCCTTGAAATGTTAATCTTGCTCTGCTTGGTAATGAAGTATCGCTTTGCCAGGGCCCTTTGCATTAAGAAGTGGCTACATTACAGCCTTCTTGCTGTCTCCCTGCAGCATTCCAGTGTGTTTCCAGCCTCCACTCCTTCTGGCCTCTCCGATGACCCCCAGTCAGTGTCACCATCTCCCAGCTATATGTGGTCCTCCAACGCGCCGCCTCGTTACTCGCCACCGTATTTTCCACCTTTTGAAAAGCCACCACCTTATACACCGTAAAGAAAGTGGGAAAGAAGAAGAAAAGACTTGCCATTGAAATAATTGTGAACATTTTGTATTTATATTTTACTGTGGGAGGGAGCTGGAGGATAGATACAGAAGATAATTGCAAAAACAAATACTAGATTGGAATGTTCTTTCTTGCGAGACTTATTTCAGGGGTTTAACAACAGATATGAGGAAAGGGACAAACTGCTGATGTTTTGCAGTGTCAGTGAGTAGCAGGTGACCTAAATTCCAGCCTCCTTGTTTTACCACGAGGTTCATGTAGTCCTTGGTTTTTAATAAAGCGATACAACACAGATGATAGATTCTGGTTTGCCTTACTCCATCTTGTGCCAAGCTGAAGTAAGGGTAGCCAAGATCGATAGTTGCCGGAGAGTATCAGCCTGTTTAAGGTGAGGGTGCTTGACTTGACGCTTGTTTTGTTTGGTTTTGGGGCTCCAGTTGTTGGGATTTTGGGGGGCCGCAGAACCTAGCTCATATCACTTGTTGGTTACACTGGAAAAATCTTGGGGGAACCACGACAGTGTCTCAAACTTAACACTAATTAAAAACAGTAACGTCATAGGATGTTTTCATTTATGTCTAGCAAAACCATTGGAATATTGCTTTTTTTGAGGGGAAAAGCTTTAATAGGCAAGCTGTTTTTATTTCAGGATGCTTCTTAAGATAGAAGGTGAAATGCAGTTGTCTCTCTCTGAATTTTGTGTAAGTAACGCTGAAGTCAAACAGTTTGGGTGGTTGCACTGCCTAAATCTTCCTTGTATTCCTATAAAGAACATCAGGAACTGTCCACAAGTCACTGAAACAGTGCAGTGAAAGCATTTTAATTTTTTTTTTCCTTCTGTTTGGGAATTTTTTTTAAGCTTGTACTTACAACTTTTTTAATGGGCTAAATCAACACCCTGAATAAGCACTGTTTTAGTAGCTGTATTATGGGCCGCACATAAGGAATACCCACTCCCAGTTCTCCACAATATAAGTCTCACGTGGCTAAAATTCAACACCCTGTAATATAGGATGAAACTGATAGGAATTTGCAATTATTGTTGTGACTTTCATTTAATCTTCAGCTGATGACTGTGCTGATTGATCTAGACTCCAACAGATTTTGCATGCATCCTGCATAACTAAAGAAGGTCAGCTTTGTTGTGTGACACACTGTTCTGTAAAGTGTGGTTCTACTCCAGGAAGTGATTTCAGATGACAGCGTTCAGATCTGAGCTGCTCAACCTGAGCGTTCTCAACTGCTTACTTCAGGGATAAAAATAAGGTACTGACATTTTACTCCTTATTTCCTAAAGATTTAATTTCCTTGGCATCAGATTGTTGACACTAATCCTCAGTTGTCTACCTTAACTTTCAACTGATGCAGACAAAAAAGGTACCTAAAAGCTAAATCTGGCTTTCAGAATCTAAAAGTGGAATACATGCTGGGGAAAAAAAAATCCAGTTGGATTTTAAACTGTGGCATCTCTCTACTTTTAATCTAAAAAAAAAAAAGAAATACTTTCAAAATGGAAAACAAACACTGAAGTCTCTGATCTCACTTTTCAAAGTACACCCACACTTTTTAATGCTGTTTTTAATCCTATGCATTTGCAAAGCCTTTAGGCTAGGCTATGTGTTCACCGTATCATTTCCACTGTCAAATACTAATCAGTATATTAATAAGCTAAAGGATGATTCTGTTTGTCTAGAAGCAAGCATAACTTTTCTCCAGTAACAAAGAAAAATAAATGGCTGGAGAAAGGAGTACAACTCGGGATTTAAAGCAGTAGTGTACGCAGAACATATCCCGGTGACATTTTGCTTTACTATAGATTGTTGAAGTGCAGCTCCTGTAAATTTGCGTACTGGAAATAAATGTTTATACTAGGGCTCCATCCACTTTATATTACATTTTCCTGAATTAAATCATGATGAAGAGATCATGGGCAATTTCAAAATATACATTACTTCTGATAAAATTTCCCACAAAACTAGAATCAGAAGGGCACATTCATTTAATATCGGAGTACATTTTATTGCTGCATCTTTGAAATAAAAGCTAACAGTCCTGTCCCACTTGTGACAAACATACCCTACCATTTGTGCCTGTCAACTAAACAGGGGTAGAAGGACTACAAGATGCTACAGGACAGGACTAAGAAACTCATGAAGAGAACATAGCTTAGTGGCAGAGAAACAATTAGGAAATTGTTTTTTATTGGGTTTGAGTTGACAAATACTAAACTTAGGAAATTGTCGAGATTCTCATTTTTTTGTAAGGAGTATTTAAGCAAAAATTACATTGCTGCTTTAAATTCACTACAAGAGGAAAAGTCGATTTTCACATTTAAAAAATTACTGATGGAATTTTCTGTTGCATTACCTGTTTCCTCTGCTTGAGTAAAACTAAGCTTTTAATGTAAATGCAACATTCTGCACTGTATTCATCATTTTTTATGAGAATGTTAAAATTGTGACTCATATGTACCCTTTTATTACTTTACCAAAGTTAAATAAAATTGTGTGACTTTTGTAAACATTTATAAATTGCATTTTATATTTTAGCAACTTTCCTATTTTGCAGGCATCTTTAATGCTAGTTGAGGAATTCTACCATAATAGCATCATGCATTTTAAAAAAAAGAAAAAACCCAAACCAAAAAAAAGAAAAACTCCAACAAAACTGAATTTGCTATATTGGAAATTGGTGTTTCTACCAGGATTAGCCAGAGACACCTTTTTTGAGTTCTGTTTTTAAACACTCCAGATGCCCCCACACTTCATAATTCTGCAGTTGTACCCATATAACAGCGTGGCCCGACTTCAGTCACTGCAAAGTCATTACAGCTGATTTTTTTCCATAACACAGAGGCGAATAATCCATCCAGTGCAGTGTCAGTGTCTCCTTTGCTTACTTTCATATTTACTGTATTAGTTTGGGCCTAATTCTGTCCTGATGATGTCAGCTACTCTTTGATGTTAGCAGAAGTAGGTGGAAGCCCTAAGTCAAGAAGATAAAGGCATCTAAAACATCATTTGATATGTTACTTATTAAATTGAATTCCTTACTGGTAATAAGTTTATATAAAGGAACTAATTTCCTCCATATTAGCCACAGTTCACCAACAATCTAACATTTCCAAATTGTAACTAGTCAGCAACCTGGTAAGAAGAGGGGCCCTAACCATGAGATAGCTGAAGGGCATTGGACTGTTCACTGTGTATGTTTTGTCTTGATTTGTAGCTCATTTGCAATGACAGTAGTAGTTGGACAGGCTGTTCCACAGCAGCTCCCCTTGTTCTGAGAGTTAGCCTATATCACAACATTCAGCTCACAATACACAGTGGAGTCTTTCAGCTAATTTCTTGAAAAATGCTCAAAAAAAAAAAACCCAAACCCAAAAAAACAAACAAACAAGAAACCCACCGAAAAAAACTAAGCCCCAAATGAACAAATAAGACCTGGGAAAGGAAGGTGCAAACTGTGGGTAATCTAACAAGTTAGATTATAGAAGTTGAGTTGTCATTAAAAAGAAACGTTACACTCATCTTTAGAGTTATTTTTTTTTATTATTTTTTGCCATAGAAAGCTCTAAGAACTAATATCAAGTATTGATTAATGAAAAGTAGAACACAACTTTTAAAAGTATGTTAAGGAAAGACTGTACAACTATATACATTACAGATCTTGCGAAAATGACAAATGTTTCACATGGAACAGTTTTAGGCAATAGCTGTAGAACCAGTGTTCAATGTATATAGTCATCAGCTTCTGCATCTTTTTATAAGCTGCATGCCTTAACAGTACAAAATAAATAAGCAGTCAATTGTTAACTCAGAATTTGTTTAATTCATACACTGGAATGCTATGGTACAAATCCCCAAAGAAACCATACAATGAGGACAGCCACCATTATAATATTTTGCAGCAGATTCATTAATGTTCTTATATGCATATAAATGACTGTGAGGTTTGCTACCATACTCTGTTGAAATTTTTAATTTTTATATAAATGCTTTTTCAGATTTAATCTTTTTCTTCCATTAGCCCAAAGCCAATTTCTTAATATTTACATAAGATTTTTCATTAAGTTAAACTGGAAGCTAAGTGTTTACAAAAACAAATAAAAAAACAAATGTAAGTGAAATAGCTAGAAATCTAAATATAAAAGCTCATGGCCCCATAAAAAAGTTTTAAAAGAATGGATTTAACATGTTTCCAAACCAATAAATACTGTAAGTGAAATTAAAAATTGCTTTACATGATCTCTGGACTTCTGGTATTAAAAAATCACTTCCAAGGAAAACTGAAGACCCTGAGACACATGCGAGCACGAGTCTTCTAGCAAAAATAGTTTAAAAGCCCTAATTTTCCAGTTTTCCTCCAAAAAGAGGCCTTTAGTAGGCACAGTTTAATTTAAGGTTTTAAATATATCAGCAGCAAATATTGATAGCCATTATGCTCAATGATTACTGAATGTACACTTTGCAACATATGCTTAACTCCAGATGTGTCACATCAATAACAAAAATAACATTGTATTTCTCTTGTCAAGAGGTTCAGGAAGTCTCTCAATGTAGCAGGAAACCCGAAAGCCAGAGCTACCGGTGCTAACACCCGCAACCCATACTTATGTCTTGTGAGGATCACCTCTGGCTGCTGAAAGTCGTCTCAGATAACATCCAGCCTGGAACACGTGAAAGCATACCCCACTACAGTCAAAGGGGTCTGCAATATGATCTGGAAATAATCAGGTGTATCACGTTCTTGGCCTACAAAACAGAAGTGGTGAGCATTACATGCATAAGGTAAAAAAAATCCTCCTTCTCCCTTCATTACTCATGCAGATTTCTGGTACCTTTTTTTTGTAGCTCAAGTTGTATTTGAACCATTTACCATTTAAATGTCTTTCTGTCTAGAGTACTATATGTCTAAAACCTTAACCTTGCAGGTTAAGATCAAGATGATTACAGGAAACGTTAAAAAGAAAAGAAAAAGCTTTAACTGTAATTTAAACAACTAAAAGTGAGGATAACTAACTTGTACTATGCACAACAATCTTTCTCAGTCATCTCTAGAACTTAAGCAGTTTTCATATTACCATTTACAAAAATTCAACAAGTCACTAAATCTGAAATGCTAAACTATGACTCCAGTAAACAGCTGCTTGTTTTTCTCAGTTCTACTGTTTCCTGTTCAAGCTGGACATCTAATTTATCTTCTAAGTGCCTAAAGATGTACCAATTGCAAGCAGAAAAAAAAAAAAAAAAGGACGATAGAAAAACCCAAAACTGAAAATAGATGACACCTAGACAACTGCAGAGAAATGATACTTTGGATGATGGTGGATGGAGGGTATTTTTTGATTGTTGGTTTAGGTCTCATGCTTCCACACCCTATAAATGGGGAAAAACTTCACTTTTTTTAAAATACCAGTCTGAAGCCCTTCTTGAAGAGGGGAAAAAAAAAGGAACAGCACTTTATTCCAAACTAACTACTGGCATCTTTTCCAGAGGTAAGAAAACCTAACATTATTCCTCAAGCTTTGAAAAGGCAAAATTATCTCCTTAAGTGTTCTAAGCTTATTCACTGTTGAGCTTTGTGGGTTTGGTGGGTTTTTTTTTCCATTTCAAAAAGAGTAAAATACAATGGTCCAGACATTGAATACTCTGCTCACCATACTGCCAAGTATAAATAGTTTGTTCAAGTTAGCCCTAACTGAGTATCTCTTGTTGGCAAGACTATTTGCATGAAGACAGATGATTCATAGCGCTTATAAAAGCAGAACTAAGATGCTAGTTCAGAAATACACTGCTCCAAACTACTGAATCAGTTATTTTGGACCCCTGCAGTAACGCATTGTTCACAGAAATAAATACGAGTTGTGCGATTTTTTGTTTTAATAAAAAATGGTTCCATATTCAAGAGACTATGATGTAAAATGTTACTGTTTTCTTGGCTAACATCTAAACACAATTCAGCATTTAAATGCTAACGTGAAAGAAAGGGTTTAGATGGTAAGTATGGGTACGGGCAATACCCCAATTACTTTAGAAGAAATTGTACCTCTTCAAGCTACAAATCCCCACGTTTTGATCAAAATTAACATACCAGAAAACACTGCCAGCTCCTTGGAAATGTCTTACTCTCTATTCAAGTAAACTTTCAGATGAATTGCTTCCACAAAATCACTTGCAGCTAATAATGATCTATCCAAGTGCTAACATTTGATGACTTGGGAGAACAAGCTAACTTGTTTTCACTTTAACATTTGATTTTACAGTAACAGTTCATTTAAAATAGCTGCAATATTTCTGCACTGAATCCTTTTCCCAGTATTTAATGCGTTTCAGTAAGATTCTGGAATTACAAACTCAAATTCAGTACTTCCCTCTGGTGGGTTTTGCTTAAAAATTGCTTCATTTGCCTGCGGAATGAAAATGTCATCCCAGGTAATTTGTTTGGCTGGAGGGTTAGATGTTGCTCCTTCAGTGCCATCCTTCCCTGTGCCAACACGATAAACAATTCCACCCTCATTTATCACTGGTATACTGCTTGAGTGATTAGTAATGTATGCATACTGTCTGATCTGCAGAGACCTGCAAGGGTGCAATCGATAAAGCTTGGTATCTCCGGAAGGGTCTTGGCTATGAACTGATCTTATGTGGGAGGCTGTAATCTGGTAGTTGATGAAAGACTTGCCACACGTCAGGCACTGGTACCTCCGCTCACCCGTGTGGTGAATTTCATGCTTCGTACGGTACTCTGCAAGAGCAAAAACTTTGTCGCAATATCGACACGGGTACTTTTTCTCCCAGGAATGAACGTTAAAATGTCTCCGTAAACTTGTCAGACAAGCGTACGATCTCTTGCACACAATACAGATGTAGTAGACTCTTCCATCCACTATGAGCTCGTAATGGTCATCGTGCTTTACTTTCATGCGTTTCCTGTTCGGAGAATCATCACCAGACGTTTTAGGCGTTTCATCAACCTTGGCTTCACCTTCCCCAGAATCACCCTTTACAGGAATGACTATGTCATATGTATCCTCACCGATATTTGCATAAACCTTACAGCCTGTGGACAGGCCTTCTATTTCAGTTGCTGTATCTAACGTTATGATTTTCTGTCCTTCTGACACATTCTTTGATGCTATACCCGAACTGAATTCCTTGTTGTTTCCACTAAGGACATCTGAGATTTTTATTTTAAATTCTCCAGGTTTAGAAAATGGCTCCTGTGAACATGTAACAACTTGTTTTTTCTGTACGCCTGATCCTTCAGTGGTTGCTGCCTTGGGTTCAGAAGACTGCTGAACCAAAGAGCTATTGCTGACTGAACCAGGACTAGAGGAGCTAATGATAGCCACATCATCTTCAACAACCTCTTCATCATCAACAGCAGTTGTTTTCTCCTCAGTTAAGGAATCATTATTAGATGGCTGTGGGTTGTCCTCCACTAAATTAATTGTAGGGGTCACCTGTGTTTGATGCAAGGAGCTGGCATTGAGAGCTGAGTTAAGTAGAGGCTTATTTAGCACAATGATATTAGGAGTCAAATGCTGCGGTGTTGCAGAGACAAGTGATTCAGCACTTGATTGTGGCTGGTTTGAGCTTAGCTGACTGGCAGAAGAGGTGAGTTTTTGAGCTGCTGTGGTGCTTGTCAAATGGGGAGAGCTACCACTGCCACATGATTTTTGGTCAGAAGCTCCGGTTGGACTTGGGGAAGGTTGGTTCTGTGTTGCAGCATTTGTATCTTTAGTACATTCTTTTGGAGGAACAATCTCAGAGCAAAAAATCACATCATCATCCTCATCATCCGAAACACACATTGTAATTTTTGCAGGCTCATATTCTATGCCATGTAAGGAGAATGACTGTGTTATAACCGGCATCCCATCCGTCACCTCTTGACTCTCTGGCCTTATTACAGGTACTTGTGTTTCAGCATCCTTTTGAGCTGGGCTAGAAGTTGAAGTTTCTGAAGCACCATCTTTAGCCTCGCCCGGCATGTTTTTTCCTTCAGGCGGAGGTATGCCCAGATCAGCTATGAATTTAACGCCCAGCTGTTGCCCTGATTTAATCAGTTCATCGAGTAAATCGGATCGAATGCTGATTATTTTGGAGCTATAAATATAGTTAAGAATTTCTGCAAAAATTTCTGCTCTTACAAAGCTCAGTTCAACCACTTGCCCAGCCACTGAGAAAAGCTGGTGAAAATATGTGCTTGAGGCCGAAAGGATGTTTCTGTGAGCTCGAAATTTCCGGTCCTCCACGATGACAGTAACATCACAGAAAAGTCCATGGCCACGTTGTTCATTCAAAGACTGAAGGAGCACACTAGAATACTGTGTGTCTGTTGCAGAAATCAGTTTTTTGCCCTCCATTCCTACAAAGAGAAAGCAAAAGGCATCAAAACAGTAAAAAGACAGATTTACCACTTTAACTGCATGACAACATTCCCCCATTTACTGTTTATTCGTTCTTCTGAAAAAACAAATCGGAGATACTGTTAATAAGCTTATATGCTACCGCACTCTGCAACTTTATTTCTTATTGTTATTTGTCCCTTCACCTTCTACACAAGGTATGTGCAATTCTGAAGATATCCTCTGCTCTTACAAGGTGAGGAACAGAGAAACACCTGCTTATCTGATTCAAAAGCAAATAAGGTATTTGCTTGTATAGAAGATGCGAGACGCAAGCAGGTGCAAGAAGTCTTATATAGAAGATGCAAGACTGGGGTCCCTCAAAAGGCTTTAAACGTTATTAGAGATTTATTTTTAATTGTGAAAATATTCTGAAATTGTTATAAGAAAGCCTGATAATATCCAGGCTATTTACAGGCCAGTCAAGATGATCTGTGCATCTACACATTACCAGTCAGCTGAGGTTAATGAAAATGCTACTGTTACTTCACTTCCTTGCCCGCAAAAAGAAACATTTTTCTCTACCCCTCCTCATATATTTGTGAGGTTGCCTGGTGATTGCAACCAGGATCCCGAGGCAGCACGGTAACAAAACACATCGGTAAAGTCAAACTAATTAATCTATCAGCGCTTCCCCGCGTTAGGGGCCATTCCCACTCGATGCCCCCCTAACAAGATGCAAAAAAAACCCACCCCAACATCAAAATATACAAACAACGAGTTAATGGCCTTTCATGTCACTCCTAGAAGTTTATTGCCAGGCTTCCAGCAGGGCAGGAGGGGATGAGGAGGATGAGGAGGCCGAGGACACCCCCCCAGGCCCCCGCCGGGCGGAACAGGGCAGCGGCGGCCGCAGCGCACCCCGCTCCCTGCCGGGGCCAACCGCCCGCCCCCGCCGCGGCCCCCGCTGAAGTTTACCATGAAAACGAGCGTTTCGAGCCGGAGACGGCACCGTGGCGGAGGTGTTTTCCGGGCTCCCGCCGCGGCGGCGCTGACAGGCGGCAGGCCCCGGGGAGCGGCCCCTCCGCGCGGCCAGGCCGTGCCCGCCGCCGCCGCTTCCTGCTCCGGGCCAAGCGAACGGGGGCCGGCCCCACCGGCAGCGGGAAAGGGAAGGCGACCCGCGGCGCGGCGGAGGAAGGCAAGGGTCCGCGTTACCTGCGCTCCCCGCCGACCGACCCCGCACAACGGGCACCGGCTCCCGCCGCTTCTCGGGCTCCGACGCCGCCCCCGCTGCGCGGCCGCCAGGGGGCGCTGCGCCGCGCTGCCCTCCCCCGCGGGGCCGCCCCGCTCCGCCCGAGCGCGATCGTCACCGTTCGACTCCCCGAACCCGAACGTTCTCGGCAACCTTCGGGAGCGCTCGGGGCCGGAGGGCGGGGCGGGACCCAGGCCGCCTCAAGCCGGACCCTCAGGCGGGGCTGGGGCCGCCCAGGGCGGGCAGGGACACGGCCTGACCCGGGCGGACCAGCGTCCGGCCGAGACCACCCCCAGCCTGGCGCGGCGGGAGCCCCTCGGCCGCGGAAGCTGAGCCGGTTCGCTGCTCCCAGGAGCCTCCGGACGCTGCCTGGGGCTGCACCGCCCCCAGGTGTGACAGGCCCCAGGGCCCCGCTGTGCTGGGCCGCGGCGGGGAGGGCCGCACCTCGGCCTGGCTCCACCAGAGGCCTCGGGCCAAGCACATGGGCCTGGTTTCGGCCTTGGCAATCCCTGCCCGGCTCCCAGCCATCCCGCTCCCTCACCCCAGGCAGAACCGGCTGTGAACGCCCCCCCCCCCAGCACCTGCCTCAGGTCTGACCCGTGCTGGATGCAGCTGTGGCGATGCGATGGCAGCAGGTTATTTCCCCCCCGGGCGGCTCGTTTCCTTCCCGGGGGCAGGGAGCTGGCTGGCACTGCCCTGCCAACCGCTGACGCAGCCGGCACCCCCGCCCAACGGAGAGGAGAGCTCCCGCCACCTGAACCTGGGCGCCCACGCAGCACCGTTCATTCGGTATTCCTTGCACCACGGTGGCACGTGTCAGACTCCGGCAGGAGCTGTACAGACACAAGGCCTTTGGCAAAATGCGCCTCTGGGCACATTGGCCATGTGGTCATCAAAGTGACACAGCCACAATGCGGTCTCCTGGAAACTGTCACTGCTCGTGAATGCTCAAAGAGCGCCAAGATCATAAGAGATATTTTTCATCTTTCAGTTACTGATCTCTTCCTTTCCTGTTTTCGACAGATTTTGTGGACTCGAACAGCAGGAGCTTCTTGATTTTTCTGAAGATTCAAAAACTTTGCCAAGAACAAATGTCCTTCAATCAAGTTCGACTGAAAACATTAACAGGCTACAGTCAGTGGCACAAATGACTGCAATCCCTTGCTACATGTATCAGCAACAAAATGGTCCTGCCTAGCTGTATGAGCCTTTGTAGCAAGAAAATCACCTGGCACACTCCCTGTATTTGTACAGCTAGTAGCAGAAGTGCCTTTTTGAAGCAAGCCTTCAGATACGAAATGTTACAAAGCTGGTTTCTGATTATTTATAGGTTTTTCTCGAGAGCTGAGTAAAGAATAATCAGGGGAAAAGGTAGGCTTTTTTTCCTCATACAACCCTTCAATTGAGTTTTCTGCTTTGATATAGGTTCTAAGTCACTTTTACACAGGAGATTATATTAAATTAAAATAACACTATAATCGTTTTAATTCTTAATGTATAATCCAGTCTTCTTTTTTTCTCCTCCAGAAATGTCTGATGGTCCAAATTAAACCATTTCATCCTACGGCTTTAAGGACTTTTCTTCTCCTCATCACCTATCTCATTTCTAAATAACTAACAGGAAAATTTACAGATAAAGATGAGTACTGATTGAGAAGGAGCCCTGCTTTTGAGGCATTGTCATTTCTCAAAAATCAGGTTTCAACTGCTTACCCTTAGGCACAGAAATGTTGGCTAATCTAAAAGATTCTGGGCTACTGGGAGACTTGCACAATCTTCTTGACTTTTACCTTTTTGCAGAAGCTTCTCTCTATGGCAACTTCTTAGGTCAGACATAAAACCTGAACCCCACTGTCACCTTGCCATGGTCTGGGCAGAGTTAATGCTCTGACCAGCTTGAAAATATTCACTGAAGCTGCCACTCGGTTGTCCTGCACCTGAATGCAGCATTTCAAGGAGAATATTTTTTTTGTCTAGCACGCACCCCTTAGTTTTGGGGGAGGGAGTCCTCTTTTCTTTTTAGCTAAGCCTAGAAAGTGTTTGGTAATTTGACTCACATAAAAACTTGTATAGCGACAAATTAAAAGAACCATTTTATCTAAGATATTGACAAGAAACATCTAGAATACACTAATGTGATGTTCTAGGGACTGAAAAAAATAGGTAAGAGACATAATAGCAACTTTTATTTTGATGCATAGAAGCGATCCAAAAAAACTCTGGGATGGAAGCTCTGAAAACACGAAGTACAAATTTAAAGAAGTGATGTGTAGGCTTTTGTGAGAAGACAAAAAATAGGCAATTCAGTAACAGGTTTTCAGTTAAGCAATTTGAAGAGCTCTCTTCTTTTTTGCAAATACAATCTGTGGGAACAGAGAACCCTTTTAAAGATTTCACAAATCTGAGAGACAAAGAAGCATTCTCTGTCATGAAAAAAATGTATTTTACATTAAAATAAAAGAAATTTGATATAGAGGACAGTGAATTTTCCTTTGAGGCCTCCAGTAAAATCAAAATTAAACAGTTATCCTAGCTAAGGCTACTTTTAGAGACAGAAATACTATTCCATTGTGGAATTTCAAATAAAACACCATTGCTTCTGAAGGACTCTAAAATACTAATTTCCACGATTCATGCTTCAGGGAATTTTCAGAGAGCATTTCTCCTGTCAATCCCATTATAGAAAGCCTCACATAACTGGATTTAAAGTCCAGTGATACCTTTTATTGACATTAGTAGTTATTGTAGATGCTGTTACGTACTGCGTATATGTGCATTTTATGACCTGTGTGTAAAAATACTTCAAATGGCTTTACTATATGAAGTAAGAGAGGTGCAGAGTGCTCCTGAGAAGCAGATGTTTCAGACCCTTGGGTGCAGACGTGAGTGGCCTTAGCAGGAGAGCTGCCTCAGCACAACCGAAGGCTGTGGCAGCTGTGCCGGGCGCTGCAGTGCTCGCTGCCTCTGAAACCCCCTGGCCTTCCACCTCCCTGCCTCAGCACCCAGTAAGCCCAGGCTGCAGTGCATGGCACGCTGCCACCAGCCACCTTTCAGGGTCTTCCACCCCTTACCTGGGGCAGCCCTGAGCCCTGGTTGGGGGGATTCTGGGGGAGAAACTAGGGAGGGCCCTCTGGCCTCATGGAGGCCTCAGGTGCTTTTACTTGCCACGTGGATGGGTCCGTATGTTATGTGGATGGCCCAGCAGCTTCCATCTCTCTCATGGGTTGGTGACATGACCTCACCTAACCAGTGCTGGGAGCACAGAGTGGCCTGGACTTCTTCCTGGGGACATCTGGTTTCACATAGCATGGGGGTAAACGAGCTCAGGGAGCCTGTGAGGAGAGCAGGGATGTGGGCTGCTAAGCCTCAGGATCACCCTGAGTTTTGGGGTCTTTCTGCAACTGGAAGCTCAGAGAGACAGTCACCCTGAGCCTTCATTCATGCCGCGTGGGTTCAGCTGGCAAAAATACAGCCACTGCAGACGTCCAGCTGTCTCATTCAAATGACCCTACCACCCGTCCAAACAACAAGCCTCTTAAAAAAGATAGCCTTATCTAGTTTGATTAGGCAAGCAGTAGTCCCTGATACTCAAAATCTTCACAAAGCCCCGCAGCAGGGAGGGACCAGGCTGTCCTCGACAGGCACGGGATGCAGCGATACACACACACACACACACACACACACACCAGGGCACACCAGCCGCTGGGGTGGCTGTTTTTCCCCCGCCGCAAGGTGCTCAGACCCGGCAGCCTGAGGGGGAAAGGCGCTCCCAGGGCCGGCACAGCGAGCGCTTTGCTTTAATACATCATTTGTATCATTTTCTCCCCAAATCGTTGCCGTTTCGGCTGCTTCTTACCCCCTGCCCCCGAGGGCGGCCGGTCCCGTGACAAGCCGATCCGGGAGGTGCCGTATTGCTTAATTTAAAAAAAAATAAATAATAATATCGGCCGTGACGGTGCCGGGCCCCGGTGCCCGGGGGAGGGGGAAGCCCCGGCGCGGGGGTCCGGTGAGCACCGGGGGTGTCCCTGCCCTCCCCCCGGCGGCGGGGCCGTGAGCTGTCCGCCGGGCAGTGCTGCTCCCGGGCCGCCCTGGACAGCTCCCGGGGCTGCCCCGCCGCCCCCGGGCCGCTGTCATCGTGTCCCCCCCCCCCCACCGCCGCCGCCCCCGCCCCCCCCCCTGC